CCAGATCTAATCGGCGGTGAAATGACGATTAATCCACCAGGTCCTGTCTCGCATGCTTTCAGTCTTCCTGCATAGGCCCTATCTGCGTACTGATGACAAACTACCATGACGCTCTCCAACCTGAAGCCATATCTTCTGACTACACCAGTTAGGAGCTTACCATCACATCTAGCTCACATGTATTCCACAGAATAGTTTCGCTAGGACGTCGCATCAGTTTTTCGCAAGCCCATCAAAGCTCAATCACGACGCGGATTCATTTTTACGTTATCTATCGTTAAATTACAGACTATTAAAAAGCGAATTGAGGTTCTACATAACTAAGACCCTTTAATACACGAATGAATAGAAAAATAAGAGATGAGAAGAAAGATCGAACTCGATATATTTCACTAAATGCACTACCTGGCTGAATTTTGATGGATACAGTGGAAAATGGGTTGACTATGGCCTAAGACTTATACGGAATCTCATGAATTCAAACTTACGATTAAATTAATTTTTGAGATACACTGCCATGGACGATAAGGCATTTTAACAAAATTAATGTCACAAGTCGTAACTTAAAGTTTAACGGTCAGAGACTAGCTTACCCGTATGCCATTAAGCTCTTGGTTGTAAAATCAATGACCAGCGGAATTAAGATAAACATAAAACTGAACTCAAGAAAATGAATCCAGCTGGAAGATATATAGTAAAACAGGTAACAATTGTGCAACGTAATAAAAAGCGGCATGGAGATTGGATGGGCTCAGAGACATAAGCGGTGACAAAAGAGAAGCAAAAAAAAGGAATTTATACCAAAGGTAAAATAAGAAGAGTTTACTTCAAAGTTTTATTTTGGAAGAATTTAATACAATGTGGAAGACCTATAAAGCACTAGTCCATACGGGCCTTCAAGTCAGAAACGGTAACTTTGTCATTTTCGCTACAAAATAAAATAGTAGAATAACCAATAAAGTCCAAAAGTGCGCATATAATATTGGAAAAATTCTAAACTCACATGAGATAGACGCGTACACCCCAACCAGAAGAGCAATCACGATCAAGGGCGTTCAGCATGCATTGGGAAATGCACTCAAAAAGCTGCGCTGGACCCTAAAAATAAAAAGATCAGACAGGTAAAAAGCCAAAAATTAATCCCAGTGATGCTGAAGAAATTTACCATTTTTTCTACCCAAAGAGTCTCGCACATGCCGTACATCTGTTCACTGCACGTCCCACTTACAACAAAGTCATCAGTCTCAACCATTGCTCCTATAAGGTCCATCCCTGAAATAAAAGGCTCATGCGAAACTGGATCTAGGCCGACAACAATTGGTTCGATGTAATAAGGCCCAAATCTTCTTTCATACAGCAAGTTACGGAGCATATTCGCCATGGTTTGTGGCCCAACTGGACGATTTTCACGAAGCTCATACATATTCTTCCTGAACTGAATTCTCTGAAAACTACAAAATATATCCATAAACAGCAAGACTCACACTGTCTGCGTATCCGTAGCTAATCCAGGGAATCCCACAAATAGTCGGGGTCCAAGTTGCTCAACTTTTGAGAAGTCCTGGCTCACAGTTGTAAATTTAAGGCCAAATCGAAGGTCTGTAGCTATTGCAGCACATCCATCACCTGCCATTCCAATGACAGCGGAGCCATTATGCCCAAAAATACTCTAAATAAGGTCACAAAAAGTTAAAATATATCACCATCGCTGACTAAGAAAAGGAGTTTGGCTGTGGCGGGAACAGAGGAGTATAGTATAACAACACCAATTTAATTTTACATATATTGAAGAAACAGTTTACCTTTAAATAATTATTTGATGCTTATAAGCTATAAAATCTGAACAAAAATAAGCGATTATTAGTATTTGATGCGTATGAGTAATAAAAATTTCATGCCCTTGTCTTTGCAAAAAAATGTGCCTTAAAAATTTCGTTAGGTAATTTATATTTCAAATCGCTTTTTGTTGGATGGGCCTTGCATTTAATGTACACGCTCTTTCGATAGCACAAGGAATGCCCAATTGAAATAATTCTAACTACTTTACCTGATACAAGTCTGGATATTTTTAAATAAGTTTGTCTGTTTTGGTGAGTTTAATAAAATTAAAGGACATTTGAGACTATGTTCTAAAATTTTCTAATAGTTATAATTAATTTATATTTTTAAATTTACTTACCATGATTCAAGGTTTTAGTTACTTTCGTAGGAGGAAGGTTGGTTTAACGAAATTCCAATCAGTGGACCACTTATTATTCTAATGTAAATAATTTATATGAACTACTAATATTACATTTCCAAGGCAAAGGAGACGGGAAAGATTGGCATTAATTAGTGGCTGATTTAAATCAATTGTGAAGTGATATATATAGTCAATGTATTCATATCAATAGCGAACAGTTTCCCACCATTACAAGTCTGGTCGAATTAAAGGAGTAAAATACAGTTCGAGGAAAATCTTAGGATTCAGAAAGCCCAATAACTATTTTAAAAAGATTATATTAGGAGGTAGGTACGTAAAACCACTTTAATAATTAGAAGTCCCATTACCGAATGTAAGACAGTACATTATATAAAATATTCCTGATTTTCAAATAAAAGATTATGGTTATAAATTATTAAAAATGAATAATAAATCACAAATATGAAAAATAAAGTCTAACTTTGCTGAAATTAAGATATGAGTGACTGTATATTAAGTATCATAATGCAATGATGATGGCGCTACAAAGACATATAGAAAATTCCAAGATAGATGTGAAATTCTGCTAAAATCATGTTCATCAGCTTTGAAGAGTAAAGAAGTCATTTGTAAATAAACAAATGAATGAGAATTGTGATAAAAAAGGTCGGGAAATATCTGAGCTTAGTCTTTGCAGAGGAAATATTTGTTTGATAAGCTGAAGATACTAATCTTATTATAATTAATAGGCTATTTTAAATGCTCATTTATGGTGAGTAAACGCCCATTTAAACAAATATCAAATATG